GCGGGCTTTCTCTAGTTGCAGCGGGCAGGGGCTACTCTTCATTGCGGTGCGCGGGCTTCTCGTTGCGGTGGCTTCTCTTGTTGCAGAGAACGGGCTCTAGGCGCGCGGGCTTCAGTAGTTGTGGCACGCAGGCTCGGTAGTTGCGGCTCGCGGGCACTAGAGCGCAGGCTCAGTAGTTATGGCTCACGGGCTTAGTTGCTCCGCGGCATGTGGGATCTTCCCGGACCAGGGCTTGAACCCGTGTCCCCTGCATTGGCAGGCAGGTTCTTAACCACTGCGCCACCAGGGAAGTCCCCGTAGCTGTTATTACTGATGATTATAAATAACTTAATTGTGATGATGAAGGAGATCTGAAACACTGAGGTTCCCAGGGAACGAGATAGGGGACCTCTCCGGAATGACTTCTGACTCTGGAGGGGGACACCTTGTACCGTGGTCTGGGGCCGTTTGTTCCAAGGGGTTGCAGACGCCCGCATCTGCAGATCCAGGTAGGGCAGATAAACCAGCAAAAACGGCGGGAGGAGGTGTGGCCAGGTGCCAAGCTGGGCTTGTTCTGGGGGTAAGCGTGGCTCCCACTGAGTCCTACAAGCTGTGCAGGCCTAGTGGGAAGCTGGCAGATGTCTGCAGGCTGATGCAGGCGGTTCTGGCCTCGGCTGAGACGGAGTATATAATAATAGTAACTGTTGTGATGCCATTACGTGCCAGGCATTGCTCAAAGTGCCTCTGGGCTCTGTCACTTGAATCCTTGCAGCCCCATCAGCTCTCGGGAGGATTTTAGGCTCATTTTACAGAGCAGAAACCCAAAACCCAAAGGATGGAGTGACCTGGCCAGGGTCACACAGAGGAGTTCTGTCTTACCCATATTTAACTTGCACAAATTCAGCTCTACCCTGAGTCAACACTCCTGTGTTCTCGTTCATTTAAATAAGCCTGTGCAGGCACCAGAGCCTCAGAGAGTCAGGGGTGTGGCTGAAGGTGGGAGTGATTTTTCAGGTTTGTCAAATAGCATTGTTCAGAGGACAGGCAAAAGGATGAGAATGATTCACCTCAGGAGGAAGAAAATTCTGCTCAGAACCACCCCGTAGCTCCACCTCACTCAGAGTCAAAGCCAAAGCCCTCCTCTTGGCCCACAAGGCCCCACAGAGTCTGCCTCTGTCACCTCTCTGACGTTGGCTTTTCCTGCTTTCCCCCTTGCTCACTCCACTACGCTGGCCTCAGTGGTCCTCCACACAGACACCGGGGGCATTCCTACCGCAGGGCCTTTGCACTGGCTGTTCCTGACGTGTAGAACTCTCTTATCCCAGATATCCCTACAGCTCCCTCCCTTGTGGTCCTTCAGATCTTTATTCATATGTCACTTTTTCAGTTAAGAGGGTCCCTGACCACCCTACTTAATACTGCAAGAGCCCTCACTGTGCATGTGCACGCACGCACACACACACACACACACACTCTCCATTCCACTTCCCTCCTTTAATTTTCTTTTAGTACTTATTGCCACCTGACAAAATGTATCTTCTTACCTGTTTGTTTCCCATAGAAGGGCAGCTCCATGGGGGCAGAGATTGCTGTCTGTCTTGTTCACTTATTGAGCACCTGCTGTGTGCTAGGCCCTGGAAAGGGAGACAGGCACTAAACGAGATAAGCACACAGTTATGTGGTAACAAGAAGGCAGTGCGGGAGACATGGCCGAGAAAGGAGGTGAAAGGTGACAGGCTGCAATTTAGCCAGGGTGCCCAGAGGAGGCCTCTCTGAGGAGGTGGCCTTTGAACTGTGGCCTGATCGCTGGGGAAGGGCTGTTCTAGGCAGAGGGAGGAGCAGGCACAGAGGCCCTAGGAAGCGAACGTGTTGTCGGAACGGCTGATGGAGGCCTGCGTGCCCAGTGGCATAGGCTGGAGGTGGTGCCTGTGCAGGGCTGGTAAGGTCTTGGCAGAAGACCTGGCATTTCATTCTAAGTAGGAGGGATGGGGGGCGTCCGGGAGAAGAGAGGGCCCTGAGGTGATCACAAGTGCCCTCTGGCCGCATGTGGGGAACAGACTGTGGCGGCAGGTCAGTGGAGGAAAGGTCAGACTTGGGATTGTCTTAAAGTTGGAGCCACAAAAATTTCTCCATTTCCGAGCTTCCTGTCTCAGGAAACATCACCACCTTTGACGCAGTTGCTCGTGCCCAAAACCTTGACCTCCAGGCCATCTGGCATCACAGTGAAAAGCACGGCCCCTGGAGCCAGCTGCATAGTTCTGGGCTTGAAATCGCAGTTCCACTGCTCACAAGCCAGTGTGACCTTGGGTGTGTGATTTAAGCTTCCCGTGCCTCAGTTTCTCCCCCAGGAAAATGGAGGTAGTAATAGGACCTACCTCAGAGGGTCATTGTGAGGCTAAAGTGAGCAAAGACTCGATATACGTTAGCTTGCCTTGTCTTCACACCCCAAAGGCAGTCCCTCCTGTGTGAGTTGCTGCCTCCACTGTGGTGGTTTGCGTGGCCTCTGAACTCTAGCCAGGGCAATGGGTTGGGCCTGGGCGGCTAGGTGAGCCTCCCCAGATCTCCCCACCAGGTATCGACTTCGTGGACATGGCTTCAGGCCTCCTTCAGCCCGCAGGAGACGACGTGGCCCGTATCAGCTGGCACCTCCATAGCCTCCTCAGCAGATACCAAGAGACCTTCAGCGTCATCGAGAAGGTGACCCTGGGAGGCTAGCAGGGCAACCCCCTTCCTGCCGCTCCTGGACCAGCCTTGACCCTGCCCCTCCTGTCCCCTTCCAGTGCCCTAAGCCGGTGATTGGCGCCATCCATGGGGGCTGCATTGGTGCGGGTGAGTCTGCAGCCACCCACCCAGATCTGTTGCCAGTTAGACTTTGGCCCAAGGTGCAACCCCACAGTCTGGGGGTGGGGGTGGGGAGCAGTCCTGTGGTTGTTTAGTGTCCCTGGCCTCTACTTCCCAGGAGTGGATCTTATCACTGCCTGTGACATCCGGTACTGTACCCAGGATGCTTCCTTCCAGGTGAAGGTGAGCCATCCTACCGAGCTTCTGCTTCCTTGGGCCCTACTTAGAGCTGGGAAATGAGTGGCAGAGACAGGTCAGAGCAGGGGTAGAGCAGGGACAGAGCAAGCTAAGGGGGTGGGAGTGAGTCTAGATGGCTTCATGGAAGAGTTAGTTAGAACTGAACCTTAAAAAGTAACCCTTGGGACTTCCCTGGTGGTCCAATGGTTAAGACTCCACGCTTCCAAGGCAGGGGGCGCCTGTTTGATCCCCGGTCAGGGAACTAAGATCCCACGTGCCACAGGAGCAAAAAAAAAAAAGAAAAGAAAAGTAACACTTGGCCAGGGAGGAAGTCAAGGATAGGCCATGCAGTCAGTGTGAGGTCAGGAGTGAGTCAAGTTGTCAGGGAGGGGTTGAGGCTGGGGGCGCTGCTTGGCGTTAGTGCTGGAGGGGGCGGGAGGCACGATGGAGCTCATGGTTGGAGGGGGGCAGGGCAGGGATAAGCAAGGCTTCTGTCTGGAGATAGATGCAGCTGACCTCAAAGAATTGGGAGGGCAGAAGAATTGGAAGGTGGGCTATATTCTAGACCGAAGGAACCTATATGGGCAAAAGTATGTGGATGGGAATGAAACGGGGTGTTTGGAATGGGAGTCTCTGAGGTGGGGGTGGGGTGGGACCTCTGCAGTAAATGCGGAATTTCATTGGCATTGAGGTTGCATGGGGGACAGTAGTGGGCAGAAACTAAGCACGGACAGGATTGCTTCCCCCAGGAGGTGGACCTAGGTTTGGCAGCGGATGTGGGAACCCTGCAGCGACTGCCCAGAGTCATCGGGAACCAGAGGTGGGTGAGAGGAGCCTGGGGGAGGGGACGGCAGGACATCTCCTAGACCTGGGATGACTGCCACCCCCGACACGCTCTGCCCTCTTGCAGCCTGGTCAACGAGCTGGCCTTCACTGCCCGCAAGATGATGGCTGACGAGGCCCTGGACTGTGGGCTGGTCAGGTAGGGGCTGAGGCCTGTGCTGGATAAGAGCTCAGGGGCAGCCAGACCTGGGTGGGGCTCTCTGGATCCCCGAGTACCTTAACTCATGGATTCCAAGTGGCCTCCTCTCTCTGGGTGGTCTGGAGTCTACTGCCCTGCTCTGATTGGTCCATTTCACTGTGGTATCTTCCATTTTCTACTGTGATTGGCCACTTGTTCATCCATGAGAGGGAGAGGAGAGCTCTTCTCAGACCGCCGACTGCAAATGCCTTTCATCCTCAGCCGGGTCTTCCCAGACAAGGAGGTCATGCTTGATGCGGCTTTCGCCCTGGCAGCCGAGATTTCCAGCAAGAGCCCCGTGGCGGTGCAGAGCACCAAGATCAACCTGCTCTACTCCCGCGACCATTCGGTGACAGACAGCCTCAACTTCATGGTGAGACTCTCCGTCCGACCAATCACATCCCTTCTCTGATCCCAGAGCAACCAATCAGGGCAGAGCGGCCCCTTGCAGGCCTTGTCCTCTGACTGGTGCGCTGCTATCTCCTAGTTTTCATTGGTCCAATTAAAATCTTCCCGTATCCTTTCCATTCCCCGCCGCCGTCTTTATCCAGAAATCCTGGAACATGAGCATGCTGCAGACAGAGGATGTCGTTAAGTCTCTTCAGGCCTTAATGGAGAAGAAGGAACTGAAGACCATCACCTTCTCCAAGCTCTGAGAGGCCCTTCATCCCAGGTCCTGGCCCAGGGTCTAGCTTTGTCCCGCCTCATGACTGCGCTTCCTCTTTCACAGAGAGGGAGGATTAGTGAAGATGGTCCCCCTCGCTGTCTTCTTTGCCAGTCTCCCTGTTTATAACTTTATGACACAGCTTTACTCATGCCTTGTCTTCGCCCCACGAACAATAAAGCAATATAAAGAACCCGGTGTCCTTATTGGAGAGAGAGGCGAGGCAGAAAGGGGGTTAACATGATGATCCTGGGGGCTCCAAAGACCACGGTTGTGCTGAAAGTTGGGGACAGAGATATGACCAATGGGCATGGAAGCCATGCAGGTGATGACCATTCAGACTGGCAGTGGGCAGGCCAGGGCTGGTAGCAAGTCATGTGAAAGGCCACAGACAGTCTTCCTGCCTGCCCCAGGCTTGAGGGCGGCATTTCCCCTGCCTGGCCCCCACTCACTACACAGCATAGTAGGTTCCGGTGCTGGAGTCTGGCTAGGGTTCTGCTGCTACCCAGTCTTGGGCCAACTGCCTCACTTCTCTAAGCTCTGAGTTCTCTTTTCCATATATAATCCCAACCTCCTGGAGAATTCCCTGGCGGTCCAGTGGTTAGGGCTTTCACTGCAGTGGCCCGGGTTCAATCCCCTGTGGGGGAACGAAGATCCCGCAAGCTGCGTGGCGTGGCCAAAAAAATAAATAAATAAACCAACGTCCTGGATTTATGTTTGGAATGAGAGCAAGAGACCAAGCATTAATTTACAAGGTATTATTTTCCTTTTTTTCTTTTTTTTTGGCCGCGCCGTGCGGCTTGTGGGAGATTTGTGGTATCTTAGTTCCCCTGACCAGGGATGGAACCCAGCGCCACGGCAGTGAAAGCACGGAGTCCTAACCACTGGACCACCAGGGAAGTTCCCAAGCATTAATTTAGTGTCTCCTATATGCCACGTCCTGTTATGAATATTTATTAACTTAGTAATTCCTTTCAAGGACCCTATGAGGTTAATACTATTAATATTCCCTATTTAACAGATGGGCAAATGGGCAAATTGAGGTTAAAGCACTGACGCAAGGTCAAACAGCGAAGAAGTGGCAGAGGAAGGAGTTTAACCCAGAACCTCAGGCTTCAGAAGTCAGTGATCTAAACCACTACATATACAACATAACGTACATACTAGAGGCATGCAGCAATAAATTGAGGTCCTTGAACAGTTCCTGGGAGTATCAAGAGGGCCCAGTTCTTCCTTGCTTTTTCACTTGTTTCCGTTGTCCATCTGTCCTGGGCCACTCCTTTTAGCCTTACCCTGCCCAACCCTCCTGGCCTCACCCTCCCTCTGACAGCAAAGGGTCAGCCAGGTTTTTATGGGCTCTGGTAAGGCCCTTGAAGGGCCAAAGTTCGCCAGCACTTCCTCTTTGCAGAAGGGCCTAGAGGAGGCGGTCCTGAGCTGAGTACCCCAGGCCTGGCCCAGAAGATCTGGGTTCCGGCTGGTTACCAGTGAGGCTGGTAAGAGAAGGGAGACTGGGGGTGCCCTAGAAGATGTGTGTCTAGGATCCCTAGAAGAGGGACCCCGTGGACCCTGCCCTGCCAGCCACTCCCTTATCCTCAGGTATAAGAGCCACCCACCAGCCGCTGTCTGCCGCCATTCCCTACTCCTGCAGCTCTTCTCACCGTAGAAGCCACCAGCCCAGCCTCTCAAGATGGCCTTTGTTCCTGCACCAGGCTACCAGCCCACCTACAACCCGGTGAGATACCCTAGTCCCTGGCTTAGCTCCACCCTGACCTCCACGCACCAATTTACCCTCACCCTGATCCTCAGAGGCAGCCACCCGGGCGTTGTGGGTCTGATTTACCCAGTACTGACCCTGGGGCTTGACTTACTCCCACCCTGATAGACTATTTACATCCATCTCCGGCTCTCAGCCTTCTTCATCTTCACGCTGATCCCTCACCCCTTGGTTTCCTCTCCCTTGCTTAAGAGAGGGGGACTGGAGGGGCTTCTGACTGAGTAGTAAGGGCTGCAATAGGCAGATGACCTTTGAGGCCCCTCACCTGGCCCCTTCTGCAGACGCTGCCCTACCACAGGCCCATCCCAGGCAGTCTCAGAGTTGGAATGTCCATTTACATCCAAGGAGTGGCTAGCGAGCATATGAAGAGGTAAGACCCTCCCCCATGCCAGGCTAGGCTGGGAGGGGGCTACAAACAGGGGGCTCCCTGCCCAGGTGCAGGAGGCCTATTTCCCTTCCTCCCCACCGCTGAGAGGAGGGCTCTATGCCACTGCACCTGATGGCCAAAGAACAGCCCTGGTCTGGGGCGTCCAGGGCTTGGTGATCAGATCAGGAGGGGGGCTGGGAGGTGTTAGGGAGACTCACCATGACAGGTGGCCCCAGAGTTGGGACACTGGATTGGAATTGTTGGGTATGACAGCATGAATTAAGATCACAGGCTCAGAGCTGGTCCACCTGAGTTCATGTCCCAGCTCTGTCACTTACCAACCGTGTGACTGGGAAAGCTCCGTGTGCTTTAGTTTGTCATCTATAAAATGGGTTTTGAGGATTCAATATGTAAAACATATAGAGTCGTATATTTAGCACTACAACAACTCTTTTAGCTTTTTGTTTTCTTTAATTTTTTAGATTTATTTTTGGCAGCGTTGGGTCTTCATTCCATGCGGGCTTTCTTTAGTTGAGGCGAGTGGTGGCGGGAGGGCTACTCTTTGTTGCGGTGCGCGGGCTTCTCACTGCGGTGGCTTCTCTTGTTGTGGAGCACAGGCTCTAGGTTTGTGGGCTTCAGTAGTTGTGGTACGTGGGCTCAGTAGTTGTGGTGCACGGGCTTAGTTGCTCCACGGCATGTGAGATCTTCCCGGACCAGGGTTCAAACCTGTGTCCTCTGCATTGGCAGGTGGATTCTTAACCACTGCGCCACCAGGGAAGTCCACTTAGCTTTTTTTATGGTTTTAAAATTGTGATGATTAAAAAAAAAAAATGGTGATGATAATTGAATCATGTCATAGGACTGTTGTTTCTTTGTTCATTGTTTCTGTGTCCACCGAGTACCCACTCTGTGCCTAGGCGCTGGGGACAGAGCATCCAACAGGACAAAGATCCCTGTCCTCGTGGAGCTGACATCCTAGTAGAGGAGACAGATAAAAAATAAATAAGTCAGATATATAATAAGTCAGATGGCAATAAATGCTATGGAGACAAATGAGGAGGGAAGGGAGATGGGGAGCAGATGTGGGGTAGGGGTTGTGTGGCATTGTCCCTTTAAATAAGGTGGCCAGGGAAAGGTTCCTGGGAAGGGAATTTTTCAGCAAAGACCTGAAGGAGGTGAGGGAGGGAGCCTGGGGTGTATCTGAGGGAAGAGCATTCCAAGCAGAAAGAACAGCCAGTGCAAAGGTCCTGAGGCAGGTGTGTACCTGCCCCCTTGGAATAATTTGGGGGCTGCTGGTGTGAAGGGAGCTGTGGAAGGTGCTCCGATTTGGGTTTTCACAGGGTCCCTCTGGCTGCGTGTGGGGAATGGCCTTCAGAAGCCAGGGAGGGGGCAGGGAGACCTGAGCCGATAGAGACTGGGCTGGGGTAAATGCAGGAGTCCCAGTAGCAGTTTTATTTGAAGCTGGGTCAGGGAAGGGAGTGAGCAAAGGGGTAGCGGTGGGAATCTGCCCCTTGGAGTGCAGGGGCACGATCTCCCCCTCCAGTCTTGGGTCAATAGTGCGCTGGCATGGGCGGCCAGGGGAACAGCCCTTCGTGTCCCACCAGGTTCTTCGTGAACTTCGAGGTGGGACAGGGCCCAGAGGCAGACGTCGCCTTCCACTTCAATCCCCGCTTTGACGGCTGGGATAAGGTGGTCTTAAACACGAGGCATAATGGCAACTGGGGCAAGGAGGAGAAGAAAAGGAGCATGCCCTTCAGCAAGGGTGCCGCCTTCGAGCTGGTGTTCATGGTCTTGGCCGAGCACTACAAGGTCGGAGTCTTGAGGGCGAGGCCTCCCCTCCCCACCCCTCCCTCCCTCCTTCCCTTCCTTCCTCCCTCCCTGCCTTTCTGCCTTCCCCTGATCCCTCCCTCTCTCCCTTTCTTTCTTCGTTTTTCCTCTCTCCCTTCCCCCTCCCTCCTCCCTTCCTACCTCACTTTTCTTTTCTTTTCTTTTCCTCCTCTCCTGCCTCTCTTTTTCTCATTCCCATTCCTCCACCTCGGAGAGCCTTCTAATGTGTTTCATGCGTAACATCTTGCTCCCGTGTTCTTGCGAGGTATGTATTTTGGCCCTTTCTTATCAGGAAGTCTAAACACACACAGAAGCACAGAGTCCTGGGAAGCCCTCCTCTCCTTGGCCAGCACCGATAGCTGTCCACTCCAGGTTCCTCTGCTCCTATCTCTACCTCCCACTTCCCCTCCGGTTATTTAGAAGCAAATCCCAGCTATCATATAATTTCATTCATAAATATGAATGGAGTTCTCTCCATCCCCTGCCTCCCCATAAATGACACACATCAGACACCCTGTGCACATCTGTCCCAGCCTGACCCATGGGAGAAGTCTTCTGGGAGGATGACCTACCTGGACGTTATCTGCCCTCATATAGACACCAGATATCTAACCACATCACCAAGGTTAACATTAGGGCTTGAGCTCGGACAGACACGGGTTCAAGTCTGGGCTTTGCCTCTCCCCAGCATGTGACCTTGAACTGGTCACTCTAGTACCTGGAACCTCTGCTTTCTTGAACAACAGGGACAGTGTTTTGTCCTCCCTCACGGAGCTGTTGAGCCAATGACCATGTTGATGCCAGCAGGTAAAGTGCTTAGCATGTAGGAAGCTCTCAGTCCTGGGGAGCTGGGTCTCGGCTGTGCCCATTGCTTAGCACTATAAATAGAACCGTGATGGCTTACAGTACTCTTGAGATGTGATGACAAGGCAAGGCTCTACATGGGATTTCCACAGTGCCTCTGACATGCCTTCCCAACAGTCCCAGAGCGAGATCCCATTTTACAGATGCAGAAACAAAGACTCAGAGAAGTGAGTGACTTACCTAAGGTCCCACAGCCAAGACATGTCAGAGCTGGACCTGACACCCAATCATTTGGTACCAAAACCAGGACTCCAATTCAGTTATCTCCCAATCTCCATCCTCAGGCTAAATTCTCTATTCTCGTCTGCCCACCAATCTGTGAGCTGACTTTTGACCTCTGACCGGTGGACTCAAGATTCCTGACTCTGAGGCTGTCCCAGCTCACCCTCAAAACTTGTGACCCCCAAGTTAAAAATCTCCCTGTTTCCTGCTTCCTGTTTTCTACCCTCCAGGGTCAGAGGTGCCACCTCTGACCTGACCCCTGCCCTCCAGGTGGTGGTAAATGGGAATCCCTTCTATGAGTTTGGGCACCGGATCCCGCTACAGATGGTCACCCACCTGCACGTGGATGGCGACCTGCAGCTTCAATCAATCAACTTCATCGGAGGCCAGCCCGCCCCAAACCAGGTGTGTGGTGTGTCCCCCTCTTGTTTGCTTGCTTTCTTCCTTAATTCACCCCTACAGTCACTTATTTCCTGAGCACCTGCTCTGGGCCAGACCCTTTGCCAGGTGACGCCACAGACCCAGCGGCCACCAAGACAGTCTACTGGGAAGACAGATGTGTCACCAGACAGTAGTGGCCACAAGTCGTCAGTGCGGGGGTGGGGCACATACAGGAGGTCTGGAGAGTCTTTTTTCTTTTAAGGTATTGGCACCATTTTCTACACCATCATTTTATTTTATTTACTTATTTAATTATTTTGGCTGGGTCACGTGGCTTGCAGGATCCTAGTTCCCTGACCAGGGATTGAACCCTGGCCCTTGGCAGTGAAAGCACAGAGTCCCAACCACTGGACGGCCAGGGAAGTCCCTGGAAAGTCTTAGGAAGGGCTTTCTGGAGGAGAAGTAGGTGTGTAAGCTGAGTCAGAAAGGGATGACAGGGAGAGACAAAAACCACAGGAGTAGCAGACGTGTTTCTGAGAAGTTGCCTGACATCATGAGTCAGCTGGGAAATTCACTGCCCATCACAGCGAGCTACCACTACACACCTGCCAGAAGGGCTGTAACGGGAAAGGCACATCATACCCACGGCTGGTGAGGCCGTGGACGGGCCGACACTCCCATACCTCGGGAAATAACTGGGCAGCATCTACGGAAGCTGAACAGACACACACCGGTGACCGTGAAACCCCACTACCAGGTCCACGGTGAACAACTGGCTAAGACACAAGCACTAGAACCCCACAGCAACACTACTTGGAGAAGCCCAAACCTCAGAACCCTGGCATGTCCTTCAGCTGAGGGCTCTACCCTTCCCAACCTGTAAGTCCCCCAGCCCCTCCAAGGGGAAAGTGCACTGGTGATCCTGAGCCCCATTCTACAGATGTGGGAACTGAGGCACGGAGTGCTTCAGTAACTTGCCCAAGATCATGGAGCTCGTAAGCGGCAGAGGCACGGATCAAACCACTCCTCTGCCTCCCTGATGAGGAAATGCTGGGAATGTCTTCATCCCTAAGGTGGCCTTGGGCCTGTGGGTGTTCATTTTACTGTTGTGCTTCATGAGTGTATTTTATTTTATTATTTATTTACTTACTTACTTATGGCCACACTGCATGGCTTACGGAATCTTAGTTCCCTGACCAGGGATCAAACCCTGGGCCCCCACAATGACAGTGCCAAGTCCTAACCGCTGGACCGCCAGGGAATTCCCTCATCAATGTATTTTAAAAAGAAAAACAACATGGGAATTCCCTGGCGGTCCAGTGGTTAGGACTCCTCACTTTCACTGCCGAGGGCCCGGGTTCAATCCCTGATCAGGGAACTAAGGTCCTGCAAAACGCTCAACGCGGCTAGAATAAAAAGAAAAACAACAATGAAGCAACTTTTAAAGGACCTTCAGGGTAGCTGGCTTAAAGCGGAAGTCGAGGCAGAAATGAGTGCATCAGAAACAGAGAGAAAGAGTGAATAAAATTTGTTTGGCGGGGAAACGAACCACTGGTGAGAAGGTGAGGACGAGAGAGGAACAGAGACAGCGAGTAAGAGGGGCTGAGAAACAGAAACAGAGTCACACACAGACTGAAAGAGCTGAGACCGGCAAGGGAGAGACAGGAACTTGGCTAGTTAAAGCACCCCTAGTTGCCCCAGGGGTGCGCATGTAGAGTGAGGGGCAAATCATGGTTGGAGACGAGGTGAGCAGGGTGTTGTGTGGGCCTGGGGGTGTGTAATGAGGGTGCACGCTTTATCGTGTGGCTCCTGGAGGGAGGAGAGGAGTGGATGAGGGTCCTGGGTCAGCAGAAAGCCAGGACAGAGGTGGGGACAGAGACAGAATTTACCAGCCTTGTCCTAAAAGAGTGGGCTGAGGTTCGCTGTGCACTGGAGATCCCTAAACACGGCGAGTTCCTCTCCATGAATGAGCCATCTGGGTGCTACCCTTTGACCCCGAGTTCCCTTGGATGGTGGTGGTAGGCTGCCCTGGGGCGGGCATCCTTGACACCCTCCAGGCCCTAGTTTAGGGTCCCCCTCATTGCCTCCTTCTCCTTCTGTGCCCACAGATACCCATGCCTAATCTGACGTACCCAGTAAGTACCTGCTGGTGGGTGACGGACTTCCCCTTGAGGTGGGGTTCAGTGGCTGAGGAGGTCCTAGGGCAGCCAAAGGACCCCCAGCCTCTCTCCATTCATGCCTTCCGTCCATCTGTGTAGGGTCCCGGGCAGTGCTACCAAGAGCCAAGTAACCTCCCTGTAAGTGGGAGGGTTGTGTGGCCATTTGGGGGTGGGTGGCAAGAACTGGAGGGTGGTCAGAGAGACTGGATCCCCAGTTGTACTAATCCAGCACCTAGAGCTACGCCTGCATGGAGTAGGTGGGCCTAATATTTGCCAAATATTATAGAATAACTCTTCCTCACTTCACAGACCATGGAAGGACCCCCAACCTTCAACCCGGTAAGGTCTCTGGTGGGAATTTAGGGTTCTGTGGTGGGCAGTTTGTGGGGAAGCAGGAACTGGTGGTGGGTCGGGGGTCCTGAGCCATGGGGAGCCCTGAGAAGGTAGGAAATAGTGTTGGCAGAGGGTGTTTGGGGCGGGAGGGGGGTGGGGAGAGGGTGGAGTTGGTGGTCAGAGGGTGTGGAGGTTGGGGGTTTGGGACATTTCCCAGGACAAGTGAGAGCCCCTCTCTGAAAATTTGTCCCTGCCTCTGGCTTCTGGGGACCTGAGAGACAATGGGACACCATGTTCTCTTCCCACAGCCTGTGCCATTTAATGGAAGACTGCAAGGGGGGCTTACAGCCCGAAGAACCATTATTGTCAAGGGCTACGTACCCCCCACAGCCAAGAGGTACAGAATCTAGATTGAGGTGTGAATCCTTGGTCCTCCTCATCCCTCAGTCCTAGGAGACTGAGCCCTCAGCCTCCTCCACTGGAGACCTGGGAATCCAGTCCCCAGTCCCCTCCTTCCTTGGGAAGCAAAGCGCTCCCCCACCTCCTCCCCACCCATCTTACTCCTACCTTTCTCTCTGCCCCCAGCTTTGTCATCAACTTCAAGGTGGGATCCTCAGGGGACCTGGCTCTGCACATTAACCCCCGGCTGAATGAGGGCAGCGTGGTTCGGAACAGCTTTCTGAATGGCTCATGGGGAACTGAGGAAAGGAAGGTCTCCTACAACCCGTTTGGTCCTGGACAGTTCTTTGATGTGAGTCTGGGGTCTCTTTCCCTGCTTCCCTCCAAAGCCTCTGTCCTGGCTCTGGCCTCATGCCCTCCCCTCTCTCTGCAGCTGTCCATTCGCTGTGGCATGGATCGCTTCAAGGTGTATGCCAACGGCCAGCACCTCTTCGACTTCTCCCATCGCCTTTCGGCCTTCCAGAGGGTGGACATGGTGGAGATCCAGGGTGATGTCACCTTGTCCTATGTCCAGATCTGATCTATATCTGGGGCCATAACCCCTGGGAACACAGAGGAAGATCCTGTAGGACTCCTTTCTAAGCCCCTAATAAAATGTCTGAAGGTGTCTTGTGAGTGTACACGACCCCGTTCACCTCCCTCACTGTTCCTTCCTTCTTGGTTCAATCGTGCACTGTCCATTCAGCCATCCAATCGTCTGCCCATCCATCCTCTCATCATAATAAATCTAGGGCTTTATGTGTATGAACCCATTCACTCCTCACAGTGCCAGTAGGTAGGAACTATTATTATTTTCCATCTGTAAATGATGAAGAGAAAGGCAAAGAAAAATAAAGCTGTTGCCCAAGGTCACAGAGTCCATAAATGGCAGAACTAGTATCCAAATCAAGGTGGTCTGGCTCCCAAGGCTACGTACTCAACCACTATACAGCCTGTTGTCCCGTCCACCCTGCATCCATCCAACCAAAAGTCCATATACCCATTCAACATCCAACCATCTAGCCACTCACTAATCCATCTATCCGTCTGTTTGTCCAGCCACCTTTTCATCCATCCCTTCATCCATCCACCCATCCATTCATCCCTCCATCCATCTATCTCATCATCCATCAGTCTTTCCAAACATTCATCCGAGCATATGTTCATCCATCCATCTAAACATTCAATGATCCATCCACTCTACCTCTCCATTTTAGCTGTTTGTTCATCCATTCATCATCCAGCCGTTCACCCATCCATCTGACCATCCATCCATTCAAACATCTAACTACTTATTTATTAGTCCATATGTCTATTCACTCAGCCATGCTTACATCCAGATTTCATTCATCCTTTCATCTCTTCACTCCCTCCATTTGTCCATGCAGTTCTCTGCCTTCCAGCACATCCATCCATCCATCCATTTGTCCATTTTTTATCTATCCAGTCATCCATTCTTCTCTTCATGATCTATTCCTCCATCCATTTCCAATTATTTATCCATACATTTATCTCTTCATCTGTCCACTAACCATGTGTCATTCATTCAAACATCCTTTTATCATCATCTTTGTGTTGATTTAATAATTTGTTCATTTACTTACACTTTCATGCATCCATTTATTCACTCTTATTCATTCACTCACTCGCTTGTTCACATATCCAGTCATTTGTCACTGTCTATTGAATTACTCATTCAGTTTATTGTCTCATTCATTCACCTAGTGTAGTTCTTAAACAGTCCTACATTGCAATCCCCTGGGGAGCTTTTAAAAAATATTGATACCTGACCCAGACCATCATTAGGTTAAACCACAAAAATGCCATTTTTGTAGGTTAAAAGTGGTTAAATATCAATAATTTCGTATGTTCTAGTCTAGTAAGTCTGTAGTGGGTCCTGGGCATCAGTATTTTCGTTGAGTTCTCCAAAAGATTCTATGGATTTGTCAAACATTGATCAAAGATGTTCTGGGGGCCCTCAGACCCTGGATGGATGCTGAGGAGGTCAGGAAGGGCGGAGGGCTGACCTGGGCAGCCTCCAGTCTGAGGCAGTCTTCTCCTTCTTCTGGGCTCCCTCCTCCCTTACTGAACAGTCACTGCCCAGGGATGGCTGTCAGGAGATACATCAGTCACGAGCCTAGAGGGGCACAGGAAGAGGGTCCCCCAAAGAGCTGGTGAGGTCATGTTTAGTTTTCTACCACTGCTGCAATATGTTTGAAGAAATAATGCCTGAAAACGTACCCAATTTTATGAAAGACATTCGTTTCTAGATCTGAGAAGCTCAATGAACTGCAAGTAGGATAAATACAAAGAGATCCATACCGAGACCCATCATAGTTAAACTGCTGGAAGAAAAAAAAAAGACAGAAAAATTTGAAAGCTATAAGTGAAAAAACAACGCATCATGTACAGGGGAAAGCAGTACGATTCACAGCTAAATTTTCATAGAAACAATGAAGGCCAGAAGGCAGTTGAATGATTTATTCAAAGTGCTAAACAAAACTGTCAGTAATTCTATACTCAACAAAACTATATTTAACAACTGAAGGCAAATGTTAAGAAGAAAAAAAAGAACAACAAAAAACTGAAGGCAAGGGCTTCCCTGGTGGCTCAGTGGTTGGGGGTCTGCCTGCCGATGCGGGGGACGCGGGTTTGTGCCCCCGTCTGGGAGGACACCGCATGCCGCGGAGTGGCTGGGCCCGTGGGCCATGGCCGCTGGGCCTGCGCGTCCGGAGTCTGTGCTCCGCAACGGGAGAGGCCGCAGCGGTGAGAGGCCCGCCTAACGCAAAAACAAAAAACAAAACAAAAAACTGAAGGCAAAAGAAAGATATTCTGAGATAGAAGAAAACTGAGAATTCATTGCTAGCAGACCTCCCTGTAGGGAATACTAAAGGAAGTCCTTCACATTGAAAGAAAATAACATCAAATCCACAGGAAGAAATAAAGAATCCTAGAAATTATGAATATGTGGATAAATATTTTTCAAAATTATATAAATAAAATTTATTTTTTTTTCTATTTTCTTTAAAAATGTGATGGTAGTGAAAATTATAACACTATATTGTAGAGTGTATAACATATATGAATGTGATATATATAACAACAATAGCACAAAATAAGGTGGGAAATGGAGATATATTGGAGCAATGCTGCTATATTTTACTGGAATTAAATCTGTATTAACATAAAGTTGACTGTGATCATTTACAATACATATTGTCATCCCTAGAGTGACCATTTAAAAACCAGCTTTCAAAATATACAGTTTAGGGCTTCCCTGGTGGCACAGTGGTTGAGAGTCCGCCAGCCGATGCAGGGGACGCGGGTTCGTGCCCTGGTCTGGGAAGCCCGTGAGCCATGGCCGCTGAGCCTGTGCGTCCGGAGCCTGTGCTCCGTGGCGGGAGAGGCCACAACGATGAGAGGCCTGCGTACCGCAAAAAGAAATAAAAATAAAAATAAAAAAATCAAAATCAAAATATACAGTTAAAAAAAAAACAACAGAGGAATTTAAATGGTATACTAAAAATTGTTTAACACAAAGGCAGGTAGTGAAGGACTAACAGAGTAAAAACAAATAGCAAAATGGCAGCCGTGAAGCCAACTATATCAATCACGACATCAAGTGTGAATGAAATAAACATTCCAACCAAAAGTCAGAGATCGGGGCTTCCCTGGTGGCGAAGTAGTTAAGAATCTGCCTGCCAATGCAGGGGACACGGGTTCGAGCCCTGGTCCGGGAAGATCCCACATGCCGCGGAGCAACTAAGCCCGTGCGCCACAACTACTGAACCTGTGCTCTAGAGCCCGCGAGCCACAACTACTGAAGCCCACACGCCTAGAGTCTAGTCTGTGCCCCGCAACAAGAGAAGCCACTGCAGTGAGAAGCCGGTGCACGGCAACTAAAGAAAGCCCACGGGCAACCACAACGACTCAACGCAGCCAAAAAAAAAAAAGTCAGAGATCGTCCGTGGTGGTCAGCTTCCAAACTGGCCTCCAATGATATGCAAACCCTTGTGTGAACCCCTCCCAAATGGTACCAGGGTTGGTATGTGTGACTACATTTCATCAAGAGAATATGGAAGACCTGATAGTATGTCACTTCTCAAACGGGGGTATAAGAGACACTACAGCTTCTGTCGTGGCTTGCTCTCTTGCTCTCTCATTTCTCAATGACTCCCCCGGGAGGAGTCAGTAACTTCTTGAACAGTCCTATGTAAGTGCTCATGTGACAAGAAACTGAAAACTCCTGCCAACATCCATGTGTGTGAGCCCTCTTAGAAGAAGTTCCTCCAATCCCAGTCAAGCCTTTAGAGCAGGGGTTGCAAACTTTTTCTATAATGGTCACATAGTAAATATGTTAGGCATTGTGGGTGACCCAGTCTCTGTTGCAGCTCCCGAGCTCCACGGGTGGAGCACAAAAGCAGCCAGTAGGCTATACATAAATGAAAGAGCATGGCTGTGTCCCAATAAAACTTTATTTATGGACACTGAAATTTGAATTTCGCATCATTTGAAGTGTTAAGAAATGTTATTCTTCTTTTCATTTTTTTTTCAGCTATTTTAAAATGTGAAAACCATTCTTAGATTGTGAGCCTTACTAAAACAGGTAATGGGTGGGTTTAACCCAACAGCCATAGTTTGCCAAAACTTCTTTCGGGTGCTAGCAACTTCACTTATAGTTTGACTGTAACTGCATGAAAACTCAGCACCACAACCTAGTTAAGCCACTCCTAGGTTCCTAACTTCAGCGACTGTAAGACAATAAGTATGTGTTATTTTATGATGTTACTGGGATAACTTGTTATGAAGCTACAGAGAATAATACATCTTCAGCCTGGATAAGAAAACAAGACCCAAGTATATGCTATCTACAAAAGACACACTTTAGATCTAAGACGTAAATAAGTTGAAGGTAAAAGGATGAGAAAAGAAGTACTGTGCCATCAGTAACCATAAGAGAGTAGAAGGACAAAATTAGTATCAGACACAATAGATGTTAAAAGAAATTTTACTAGAGACAAAGGACATTTCATCATGATAAAAGGGTCAATATATCAAATATACACATCAAACTATGCACATATATTGCTAAGTGACAAAAAAGAGGTGAGTGGGTGAAAGATGCTCCGTTTTATGCAAGGAGGGAAAAAAATTGCATATACATGTGTTTAGAAGGGCAGAGAGTTTTGGAAAGATACACAAGAGATAAAGACACGGGTAACAGAAGTTTGCTCTTATAAAGGAGGATTTTCATATACATATTTTATATATTTATAGGTTTTTTATTTTGAAATGACTAACACAGAAAGTTGTAAGTACAGTACAAACATTTTTTTCCCTACACTCATTTGAGAATAAGTTGCCAACATGCTTCCTGATCACCTTCAATTACTTTTTTGTGTATTTCCACAAACAAGAACATTCTCTTGCATGTCCACTGTAAGGCAACAGTGAAAATCAGGAAATTAACAGATGGAGAACAGATTAACAGATGGATAACTACCATCTATTCCGAGACCCCAGCCACCTTTACCAGTTGTGCCAACAACTGTATTTTCCACTGCATACTTTGAAATTTGTACCGTAGGTATATCTTTAAATTAATATATATTTTAAAATTATATATATATAAAGTGATATTATATATATGTAAT